GCAAAAACTATGAATGCTACAAGATTTTACAAAGAGCACAAAATTGTGAACAAATGATTAGTGCATCAACCTACAAAAAATGAGTTGATTTCATCCTCCAACCAAAAAGTTCTGGTAGTTTTCGTACCACGCCACTCAAGAATTCACCACTTGTCCAAAACGGCGGATCTCCATTGTTTCATCAAAACACGAGTCTTACATAAGAACAAATTCACAGCGAGTTTCACTAAAATACATCGTACCATTCTCCCGATATTTCCAAAAAGATAAATTTTTTGAAGAACTTTGACCATCAATAGCAGCCAGACATTTTTTGTTAATAAAAGTTAGGTCAGATCGTCTTCTTTTGGTCCAAAGAATATCGCAGTACCCTTTTGATCATGAGCTTACGGGACACCCTGTATGTATTATTATTCAATCTGCTGAAGGTCTGTTTTATTTAATATTAAATGTAAAAAAATTTGAAAAATTATAACATGCGGCAAAAAAGCATAAAAGAAAATAAGCTGCATTTAATCATATTTTTTAAATATTTTTTAAACACGAAACCCAACGGTGCAACGCCCAACTTTGGTTGTACCAGGTTTGCAAGGTAGTGAGTGACGTCACGCGGATCGAGCCAAATCCTATTCTGCATTTTTAGTATGATGATTTTGCCCATCGTTTTGGACAAATTTTTGTAATTCTCATTTTGGTGCTCTGTATGTTTTGATGAACTCAGAGCGTTGAAAATCCACCGACAAAGAAAACATGAAGGGTCGAAAACGTCAGTTTGTCAACCCTGCAGAATGAAAAAATTGCACTCACCATTAACCTGCCAATTTCTGAATCCAATTCATCTATATAATTGGGGCAAAGTCCTCAAAATCTTGCAGGAAGCTTTAAAAAGTCCGCAAAGCTCCAAATAACTATTCACTTCTGGTTTCCAAAGTCGGAGTATGTAAAGACTTGACAGCAAACGTTAGAGCAACTTGAAAAAGTGTCTTTTTTTGCTCAAAACCGCACTAACAACCGGGAAAATACCCCAAAACGGTAAGGTGGAACTTCCCTTTGCAGAAAAGCCGCAAGTTTCCGCACAAATTTGGAATAATTCGGCGATTTTCTGAAAAATCGACAAAGCCATTTTTCCAAACTGACTGACAACCACAGATCACAGAGGTTACTCACGGCAGCAAACGTCAGATGAACTAGGAAAATCGCGTGTTTTTGCTCAAAAACGCACTAAGAACTGAGGAAATGCCTCGAAACCCTTAAGAGGAACTTTCCCGTGCGTTAAGTTAGTAAATTGCCGCACAAAACTTGGAAAACCTCGGAATATTTCAAAATAGTTAAGGTGCGATTCGCACATCTGTCCTCTTGTCCAACACTAAACAACTGATGGTCTTGACAAATTGACATTAGAGGCCCAAGTGACTTGATAACCATGAAGAATCATAAATAAAAATTCAGTAAAATCCGTAAAAAACTTTTTCTATCATTAAGAAATTGACTTCGAATGGGCGAAAATGACACTTCTTAATTTTTCCAGGTCCAAATACTTAGTTAGAGAGAATCGAATAGGCTACAGGGTGTACATGTCGCTGCTCATCAAGTCATTTAGCGCTAAAGATGTGGGAACATACAATTGCGTTTCCACAAACTCGCTAGGAAAAGCTGAAGGCACCCTTAGACTGTATGGTACGTATTGTTGCAAAAAATTCGTGGAACAAACAGCAGCATTGTTAATTTTTCAATTACCTGGCGAGAATATTGGGAAAATGTGGCCAACCGGCGGCTAAATCCTCCCCATTTCTTCGCCCTAATGTCGCTGCAGCTTAGGAGACAAAACGTGAACAGGAAATTTTTATTTTATCTAATTTCATTATTCTTTTGCTTTATTTTCGCTGTTCTTCGGGCGGCTTTGTGTAGATCCCGCTCTGTTTCCGGTTTATCGGCCCTTCAACTACACAATGGCGTGATGTAAGCCGTAAAATAAGAACTGGGACGTAAAATTTAATTAAGTCCCGTACAAATTGTATGTATTCGCTTTCCACCACACCGTCATTGCAAAAAAAACGAAATAATTTATCATCTAGTGATCTGTATTGGTTTATCCACATAAAACACAAAGTATGCCTGCTTGACTACGCCACTGGTTCATATACAGAGTCTTCCAAGGAAAACTTTAGACTGTCAAACAATCGAGCAGCACTTTCCGCGTTGTATTCCCCGCTCTCCTTTTTCAGCTGCTTCATTTTCTCCCTCCAGAAGGACAGTTTGTTTTCCGAGAAAATCTTCACCATCGGCCTGGGCACGTCCTGAATATCGCGTAGTTCTCTGGATAAGTAGCTGGATTTTTCTATGGAAGCTTGCAGGTCTGGAACTGCCAGGAAATCTGAGGATTTTTGCACATGGGCTGAACCTGACGTAACAAGGGAAATAAGTACTCCTAAAAATAGTTGGTTGAACTGAAATAACCTGGCTTCGATTCATTGGCGATTTCTGAAAGCTTCTCGCAAAAATCCTCAACTTCATCGATTTGGTAGCGCATCGTTCGCCGCTTTTGGTCATTCACTTCGTCGCACATTTTCAAAATTTCGTTGGTCACTGATTCCTGGATGGTATCTGGAAAGTTTGTAACTAAATCAGGTGTTTTAGAGGCGTCACTTTTTTGCCCCGCCCATTACATGATGGACACTTCGTCGAATGGTCTGCCTCCAAGTTCACAATATTATCCAGATGGGTTTCAATTTCTTTAAGAGTATCCTCGATTTTCGGGAATTCGGGAAACATTTCGTTCATCTCCCTGATGCGTTCCTGCATTTTGGAGTCGCTGAGGACGTTTTGGGAAACTGGGAAACAAGCCAGATTTGATTAAACCTGCTAGACGATGTTGAGGAAGGGTTGAATGGTTGGACTTTCATCACAAAGACGTTTTATCGCAACGTTTCGGTTGGTAGTACCGCCAGCCGCCTTCAACGATGGTTGCCGATACTACCAACTGAAACGTTGTGACAAAAGTGCCTTTGCAAGGCAATGGAAGTTCGAATCAACGATTCAACTGCAACAGAATCTGCCGCTTTTGAACACAAGAGAAGTTTTTGTCTTTGATTGATTTGAACTTTCATTGTCTTACAAAGATGTTTTTATCGCAACGTTTCAGTTGGTAGTATCTGCAACCGTTTTCAGGCGAACGCTGAAAATGGTTGCAGATACTACCAACTGAAACGTTGCGATAAAAACATCTTTGTAAGACAGTGAAAGTTCAAATCAATCAAAGACAAACAACTCACTGTTTTTCAGCTCGAACTTTCCTGCTACATCACCGCTAGTTTTTTCGGGATATTCCAGATTTTCGTACAAAATTTCAACGTTGCCAATCTGGGTGAAACAGTCGTTCACATTTTTGTATTGAACTTTCGGAACGTTGAAGTACTTTTCCTGCATTTGATGCAGCTTTTCGTTGATGTCGCAAAGTGCGTCCATTATTTTGGAGTTTGTTTTCTTCCTTATGGGTTTGACAACGTTGGCGTGTCTGGATATGGTTTTATGGATTTTTTCCTTGCGCACTTTGGATGGATTTGGATTCGAGTTCTCGCCATCATTGGATGTTTGTGCGGTTTCCTCAATCGTGCCCAATTTATCCGCAATAGTGACCGATTTTTTCTTCTTAATCGGAGATGAGGAGCTTTGGGTGGACCGCAGTGAACTTTTCAAGTTTTCCGTGATAACTTCGCGGTTAACTTTGGGAGGTCTGGAAGCCCGTTTCGGCTTTATCTTGTTCTCGATTATCTGCACCGCTCTATCTGCGCCATAGTGGATCTGAAACACTCTAAAATCAGTGGGGAAATTTGGAGCTTCAGTTGCTCTCACCGGTAGCTCGATGTTGATGGTTTCCACATACTGAGCCTCCTTTTTAGAGCGGGGAAATCTGCATAAACTGCCTGACCTAGTTTGATGCACCTGTTGCGACTTGCGCTCCAAAGAGGTGTCGAGTCGCTGCATGCTCTCCTCATACACAGTTTTAAACTCTTCGAAGTTCGCCTTCCTTTGCCAGGCATCCAGGTTGTTCTTCGGCGCCAGTTTTCTCCTTTGCTCATCCTTGAAACGGATCTTCTTTATTCGGACCATTTCTTGCAAGAGGCTACTTTGCGAGATCGCATTGTTCCTGTTCATTTTCTCTTCGGCTCCTAATATTGGGAAAACGTTTTCTGGGCGGTTTTTTGGAAAATTGTCAGTGACATTTTGACACGGGAATTTTTGGCATCCGCCTTCAACCGACATGGGAAATGGCTCATTGTTGCATTGTTTTTAAACAGCGGGTTTTTTCGGGCCAAATTTGGATTTTGACCACTGCCTCCATGTACAGGGTGAATTAAATCTGCGTAGTTTAGCGCCCAAAGTCGCAATCAAATTAAGTTTTCTTTGTTTTTCAGAAATTAAGCTCAACCCGGTTAATTCATTCAACAACAGAGCTGAACTGGTCGAAGGTAGGTTCAAGAGTGCTTTTGATTAATCGGGTTTTGCCTGAGTAAATCGGGTTTTGCAACGTTTTTTCCTGTACTATTCAAGTATGGCGAATAACATTTGGGGATTTCAGGAGTAGCCGAACCAGCAAGAGGAGCCAGATCGAAGGAAGTTGTGATATCAAGCGCAGCATCCTTGATCGATCTATCTTCGCTCTTTCATCTGATTTTGCTGGCTTTTCTGTTGAAGCTTCGGTGACTTTAATCCGGACTGCACAGCAACAAGGACCGCAACATGGGCTGCTAGTCCAATTAATCAACAAAGTCTTCTTTGCGAAAAGTTCTCTATTCTTGTTAGGAAGATGATCTAAGTAATCACCGCTACAAAGATAGTTTATTTCCTCTAACACTCACAAGCAATCAAGAGCTAGTTGGCGCACATTCAGTACATATTTTATAGTTGGTTCATTTATTCGCTGTAAGTGTACATATCAGGACACCAGAGGAACCAGTCATTTTCGGCTATATCTGAGCATCCAGTGGGCGCCTCAGTGGATGTAAAACATATCATACATTTCAAGCGTTTCACTGTATATTTAACTCTGCTAATCTTAAGTTTCAGTTGATTTTCAGATTTTTGCAGCTTTTAGTTAGCAGATCGGTGTGCTAGTTTTAAGAGTATTTGTGCCAAAAATTCTAAGATCGCCCATACAGGTTTCAAAACACGAGTATACACGCACTGTCTACAAACTTTACATAAGCTTCTAAGTCTAAGAATCTCAAATAAAAGGCTTTTTTCTGTATTGATTGTTTGTCTTCCATTTGTGTTGGCCCTTTAGCTACTTCTGAAAGAAACGCGCGGTGTTTAATGCCTGTATTTCAGCTTTTTTTGAAGTAGGTATTCTATTTTGAGCTGATTACATGTTAATATATTCTGTAAGTGGCCGCGCAGAAACGGAACTAATTTGTCGCCTGAACCTGCATATCGATCAAGAACTTCCGGCTGAAACAGCAACTTTCTCAGCCGAAGGCGTATTCATTTACCGTACTTACTAAGGGAGAATTAAATTATTCACGATCAGGAAATGATTTTGCTGTTTCAGTTGCGAACCTAAAGGCAAAAAACCCGAAAATTCCTTTAAATCATCCAAATTTCCCCAGCTTTGCCTTGCGCCACTCACTAAGAATTATGAAATTATATATACCAAATATTATAAAATTAGCTTTCAATAGAATATCTGCAAAATTATTCATGCAAAAATAGTATACTTAATGATTTTGCAATTAAAATTAGCCAGAAGTTTGAAACCATCGATTTTAAAGAGGCAAAAAATGCAACGATTGCAAAGCAGAAAACCCCACTAACGAGAAGAAAACTCATCATATCGAATGAGTTTTAGTTGCTTTCATTGAGCTACAATGAATTTAAGAAGCTTAAAAATGTGTGTTATGAAGAAACTTTGATGAAA